CGACCCCAATATGACTTCAGTGCAGTAAAAGTAAACCGGTCTTACATTTCCATGATGCGGATACCTAATCAGGGTCTAGGTTGCGCCCATCAAAGTGGGCATAACCCTGGAGGGATATTTGGGGTTCTGTGTTCCATAGGGATGGACCATGACCCCGGACCTGTATAGCAGCTGCATGCAACCACATGCATTGGACGAAGTGCAAAGCTGAGCACACGTGCAGGATCCAGTGCCCAAAGCAACATTACAAAGCGTCCCCACAGTGTGGGGTCCAGCTCCAAAGGCTATCCCAAAGTTGCACCAATGTGGATGCACTGCTCAGGGTCTATGAAGATCCAGCCTGTTCCTTGCACTGTACGATTAAAAGAATCACTTCTTTTGCCGGAACCCAGGATTTGGATTATTTTTCAGGTCTTTTAATACAAGTAGAATTTCTTTGTAGTCTCCATAAAATCCTTTTCTTTGCGTGTATTGTGAGGTCTGATTTTTTTAGATCCTGACCACAGGGTCAGCTTTGCTGATCCCCCGCTCAGTAGTAACTCCCAGCTCTGCTGATCCTCCTCTCTCTCTGGTCGCAAGTCACCTCCCGCTATATTTCTCCCATGCTGCGCACCAAGTGTGACATTGCTAGTTTCTCCTGCTCTGGTCCCCCAGCCCTGCTGATCCTCCTCTCTCTCTGGTCCCAAGTCACCTCCCGCTATATTTCTCCCATGCTGCGCACCAAGTGTGACATTGCTAGTTTCTCCTGCTCTGGTCCCCTAGCTCTGCTGATCCTCTGCTATTCAGTCCTTTCACTGTGGTCCCTGCTGACATTCAGCTATAACGTTCCCATGTTGCGCACCACGTATGCCCTCTGCTAGCTGCTCTGCTCCAGGTTGGACCTCGCTCACCTTCCTGCTGCTCCATGCTGCACACCAGATGTGATGTCTGCACCAGACACCCCCAGAATATATGTACACATAGCTGGATGTGACTACTGATGACGTCTTTCTGGTTCCCTTGTTGATTTCCCAGCGAATTCTGGGATCTCTCATACCTGTAAATCCTCCAAAACAAAGCTAAATCTGAATTAAAGCCTGCATGTGCTGTTAGCAAGCTTTGCCACAGATTTCTAAAAGGAGGCTTTGGAGACGCTCTGAAGTGTCAAGTGACATGGCGTATAATTTTTGAACCAACGCAAAGCAAACGCAACAGTGCGAACAGGACTGTAAGGTAACTATTTTTTTTAGTGGCAGGTGCTTTTACTGGCGGTCACAGTGCTTTTAAAAACATGTCAAATGCCATATTCTGAAGCAAGTGTAAACGAGGCCTAAAGGTTGCATACATTCTTCTGACCACAATGCATGGGGCACTTTCCTATTTGATCCATGATGAATTAGATATAGTAAGGGTTTCCCCCGAGACCTGAAAATTTTAGGATTTCCCTGGGAAAGAAAAAAAAAAAAATTGAGAAAGGCTGTTCTAAAGAGTGGTACCAGAACATTTGCCTTCTCACAAATCTAGGAGAATGTTGCTCATAGATCATTAGTCTGAAACTTATTGTATAATATTCTGGTACCAAATAAACTTGGCCAAACACAATTATGATCCAATCATACCTCACAATGTTCTTTGACACAGAATCTACCCTAAACAACCTAAACATTGCTCAGGTCACACAAGCATCTCTGTTTGGCTTGAGAAGGAAAGAAAAGCAGCAAACATGGTGAAAACAGTCCCATCCCAGGGGGAATTAATGATCAGACAAGGTTTTGTGGCTGGTTTAATCTCCTTCCTCCCTGAAATCTGCCTGGCAGGACTGTCAAAAGAGGTCCATTGAGACTTTCTGATCAAGAGACTATAATTTCAAGTCAGGCAGCGCACATGATGCAAACAGACCCAGAGCTGCCTTTGGAATCAAGCAATCAGACAAGTTTTCTATCCTGTCCGATTGCTTTTTACCCCCAGGGTCTGTTGGGTGGGACCATCACCATCTCATATCAACCTTTATACTCTGTCACAAGCATATCATCTCAAGTGAAAACCAAAAATGCATGATCTGAATGACTAAAATGCAGCCATATGCATAATTTATTTTTACATATATATATATATATATATATATATATATATATATATATATATACACATATATATATATATATATATATATATATTACACATACACACACACACACATATATATTATACATACAACTACACTCAAAAACTTGGGTACTTCTAATAATTGCATGTCACTGATAACACATTGCCTGCTTCTAAATATAACAACAGATTTGATCACACTTGGTCAGCATAGATACTACAGAAGTGATAGATGAATAGATATACATAACAAAACAAAATATATACATGCATACAACCTACATACATACACTATATTGCCAAAAGTATTGGGATGCCTGCCTTTAAAATGCACATGAACTTTAAAGGATTAGTTCACCGTTTGACAAAAATAATAAATGCACATTTTTTTGCATTTATTATTTTTTTGTCTGCAGGAGCCCGGAAAGATTTGCACCAGCGATCAGTAGATGGCTGATGCCATGCAGGTCTCCAGCAGACCTGTCAGAATATCTGCTTGTTGTATGGGATGTATGAGCAAGCAGATATTCTGACAAGAAGCTTCAATGAACTACCATAGCACTGTGGAGCATTGAAAAAACTACAAGCCAAAAGCCGCTAAGGCTGCAGAACTTGTAGGCACTCATTCACAAAACACAGTGAATGAGTGACGCAACCATGTAGGCGGAGCCCCACATGGCCATGCGGTTTTCAAATCTGCCAGATAGTACGGGGAGAAGTTTCCCCGTACTGTTGGAAAGGGGTGGGGGGGGGCTATGAGAACATGATCCTCAGGGTGAACTTATCCTTTAATGACATCCCAGTCTTGGTCCATAGGGTTCAATATTGAGTTGGCCCACTCTTTGCAGCTACAACAGCTTCAACTCTTCTGGGAAGTCTGTCCACAAGGTTTAGGAGTGTGTCTATGGGAAGGTTTGACAAATCGTCCAGAAGACCATTTGTGAGGTCAAGCACTGATGTTGGACAAGGAGGCCTGGTTTGCAGCCTCTGATCAAATTCATCGCAAAGGCAGGGATGTGGAAACTTTTGAAGAAACCTACTTTCCAGGGACTAAATTGGTGTCCCAATCTACTTGCCCTGATAAAAAGAAAAAAAAAATTTTTTTTAACCAAAACCATATTTAAATCGGAGGTGCTTTATGGAATGTTGGGGGCTTTTAAAAATTAAAGGGGCTTTATGGCTACTTATACGTGTAATATTTTTAACATTACGCTGTTTATCTCCCTGCCTCTCTGCAGCACTGCACCCAAGGACTAGCAGGGAGAGGAGAGACCGTGCAATGTAAGGAGCACCAATTGGCTGCTCGTCAGGAAAGGGAGTGTCGACGTATTCTTTATTCCTTTCGCTGCCAGAGCCATTTTTGCGTTTTTTTTGCACACATTTAAAAAATCATTTAAGGCCTGAAGATTACACAAAACTCCAAAACATGATATATTTTCTGAAATCAGAGAACCTATAGAATAAAATAGCAGTAGTTAAACTTTTTTATATCACACGGTATCACAAAAGGTCTAGGAAACACAAATTTCAGTAAAAAAATACACTTAAGTTAATTTTAGGACACAAAAACCAATAAATTCTCATTTTGTTTGTAAAATATAAAAAGATGAGATTGCATCGAGTAAAGAGATATCCAACATGTCAAACCTCTAATTTGTACGTGTTCGTGAAAATGGCAACAAACTTCAGTACCCTATATTTTCTATAAGCGACACTTTTAAAACCCCTAATAGGGCATCAGTTTAGCGTTACGGAAGAGGTCTGGTGCTAGATTTATTGCTCTCATTCTAACGTGCGTGGCGATATGTAACCGTGTATCGCAATCATTGTTTTCATGTGTGGGCGCCCCAGCGTGTGCTTTTACGTTTGTGCGTGCATACATATGTGGGGGTGGGGTGTTTATATGCTTGGGTGTAACTTACATTTTTCTAAAAATAAAACATTTTTTTAACAACTTTTTTCTTAACATCACATAGGGGACAAAAAGTCCCCTATGGGAGGATTTTTTTTGGTGACAGGTTCTCTTTTTTTGCATCCATCCCTGCAAAGGTGTTCTGTTTGAGGTCAAGACTCAGCCAGTCAAGTTCCTCCGCCCCATCCATGTCTTTATGAACCACGCTTTGTGCACAGTCATGTTGACACAGGAAGGAGTCATCCCCAAACTGTTCCCACAAAGTTGGGAGCATGAAATTGTCCAAATTGTCTTGGTATGCTGACACATTAAGCATTCCCTTCACTGGAACTAAGGTGCCAAGCCCAACCCCTGAAAAACAACCCCACACCATAATCCCCCTTCAACCAAGTTTACACTTGGCACAATACAGTCAGGCAAGTACTGTTCTCCTGGCAACCGCAAACTCAGACATGTTCATCAGATTGCCAGACAGAGAAGTGTGATTGGTCACTCCAAAGAACACATTTCCACTGCTCTAGAGTTCAGTGGTGGCGTGCTTTACACCACTGCATCTGACGCTTTGCATTGCACTTGGTGATGTAAGGCTTGGATGCAGCTGCTCGGCCATGGAAACCAATTTCATGAAGCTCTCTGCACACTGTTGTTGTGTTAATCTGAAGGCCACGAAGTTTAGAGGTCTTTAGCTATTGACTCCGCAGACAGTTGGTGACTTCTGCGCACTGTGCGCTTCAGCATGCGCTGGCCCCACTCTATCATTTTACATGGCCTACCACTTCGTGGCTGAGTTGCTGTTGTTCCCAGTTGCTGCCACGTTGTTATAATACCACTAACAGTTGAGCGTGGAATATTTAGTAACAAGGAAATTTTACAGATGGACTTATTGCACAGGTGGCAACCTATCACGGTACCACACTCGAATTCAGTGAGCTCCTGAGAGCAACACATTCTTTCACAAATGTTTGTAGAAGCAGTCTGCATGCCTAGGTGCTTAATTTTACACCTGAATCCAATGATTTGGAGGTGTGTCCCAATACTTTTAGCAATACAATGTATATAAAAAAATCTAGATGTTCAGCTCCTAAGTTTGAACTGGGCCTTTAAAGCTCATCTCTGGGGGCACAATTGAATTTCAGCATACATGGAACAACTTACAGTATATATTTACTGCTTACAGCTGAATTCTGGAAAACTGAAAAAAGACCTGACACCGTAAGGTTTAATTGCCATTTGCCTAGAGGACTGGAAAAGACATTTACTTACATGATTTTCCGCTTTCCTGGTAAACAGCGTTCCCTTCTGCTCTGGCAGCTGACTGCAACGCAATGTCTTTAAGTGCAATGCAGGACTATGGGCCCTACATCAGTCGTGATGGCATCAGAGGACCGGGGAGAAAAGGCTGCAGAGACTGATCTAGCAGTGCAGAGAAACCTACAGGATCACAGTACCATGCGATCTGGTGCAGTGTGTTTTTAAAAAGCAGAGCGTGCACTACTTTTGGTGCAATCCAGTGCGATTTTGCCATTCAAATGAACAGGTTGCACACTGCACAAAATGTAGACCGTATTCCTGTGCGATCCAGGTGTGAAACAGCCCTTAGTCAGATTCTGGTGCTCATTTTGTAAATGACACATAAAACGTTTTTAAAGCTTTGTGCATCCGTCAGCCTTAAAACACAAATCAATCCCCTTTAACTTCTATATTAGTGACTGATTAGCTATTAATTCTATAGTATGAGTGCACTTCTACAGAAAGAACATGAACAAAGCTTTACTGAATGTATTATTCATACCATAGAAATAATATAGCACACTATGACCTTCATGGCCAATAAAAAAAAAAAAAAAAAAACTATTAGAGGCTAGACAGCTGGAGATAGGCTAGAGGTAATTATCAGCAAAGTAGGACCTTTTGCTTTCTCATATCACCTTATAAAAAGATGGGATGGATATACAAAAGCTATACTGTTACATGGTCTTGCAGTTAAAAAAAATACTATAGGAGGAAAAGAAAAAAAAAAATTGACCGCGCCTAAGATGAAACCATGTTAACATCTGTTAGAGGTAAAGGACTTGATAATACAGGGATGAGCATTAGCGTACAGGAAGCCATGAGGCATATAAATCCATAATATGCACTAAAACCTCAATCCTCATATTAGTTTATTTGACCTACATGCACAGAACATACTGAAACATTTCCCTTACTTGGAGAAAAAGTCGCCACAAAATGACAAGATCTATAACAACTTGCTGTATATACAATGAACGCCATTCTATAACCTATGATTAAACATGCGTCATAACTGAATGTACAGAGTTCTTTCCATAGGATCTGCCCATATTTGATCCCTAAAGGAATCAAAGAAGCATCTTCAATTCATTTACTGTGGAATCACATTGGATCTTCCGGAGTAGTATAAGGGAACAGGGGAAGATCCCTTCAAACACATTGCTTGAGGACTTGTCACTGTGTAGGTCAATTGTGTGCTGATTTGACACAATCACATACGCACTTTATATGTTTTTATGCATTTGCACTTTATTTTTTTAAGGAAAAGAATACAATTGATGAAGATTTAAAATTTATGTATACTGGTTTACTTTGGCTGCAATATAAATGTATAATGCAGCAAGTCTCCAAACAGAGCCTCGAGGACCATTTCTGGCCTTACGTCATCTAGGAGAAAAGTCTAATTGATTTTTCAGGACCTCATAGCCGTAATTCAAAAGATAACAGCATCTGCTCTGCCAAGGAGGAGGTGTAACAGCATGGATTACATCATCTCCTTTCTCTCTGCAATAAAAGGAAACTGCAGTTCCCATCAACCAAGGGGAATTGTAGTGAATGTGGGTGGGTACACTTGGCCTGTACATATTGAAAGTGTCTGAGAGTCTCTGCCCCCCCACCACTGCAAGTGGGGCTGAATGATATCACTGCTTCCTGGAGAAAGAACTACAGATGGGATGTTCCAAGACCAGTGTCTGGGGGAATAGGAGGCATAGCAGCCACTGGTCTTACAAACAGGAAACCAAAGAGAATTAACGGTTAGATTTGAAAATGAATAGGCTATTTCAGAGCAACTACTGAGAGAACCAGAAGATGGCTGACATATTCATTGAAGGTAGGAAATCAACAAGGACGTGTAAAGATGCTTTTTGCCAGGAGTTCTGTTTTAAAGCATGTAGGAGTTTTCATTCTCCTCTGAATGTCCTATGAGGATGCATATCCCCAGACCCTCAGTCTGGACAGTGCTGATTGGCCCTGTGCTGACTACATGCATTCTCCTAAAGAAGGAAAAAATAAAAACCACCACTCCAGTAATACATACTAAACTGAGCATGTGCAGAGTGACTCCTAGAGCTCTGTACTATGAGCAGATGGACTGGGGACAGTAGAAGGGGAGGATTGGAGAAGGCAGGATCAAAACAGCCTTTTTACACAATGCAAAGGATTAACCGCTTAGGTTCCACAGTGAATATAACAAGCATGCTTTACTACATATACGGACGGATTTTACTGCTGTGGGTTTACCACCACTTTAAAAGACAAGATCAGAATAAGGAGAAAAAAAACCCCAAACATTTATACTCTAGGTAGATGTAGCATCGATCCAATGCGCATCTATTAACCGCCACCTCCAAGACCAAGAACTGAGCGATCAAGACCTCTGATTGCTCGATTCTTAGTATTTAGTGAGCAGAGGACGGATTCTCTGGTCTGCCCCCCCCCCCCCAGCGCTCATTGCAGAGCTGGGCTGTAGAGGGGGCAGAAGCAGTTGGCTCAGGCTCTCACTGGCTCTCTGAGAGGCTGAGAAATCTGTCTGTCCAGGCTCCTGGGTGGGTTCCAACTTTAAAGTTGAGATTGATCCAGAGCCTGGACCAGCTGAGTGACATCAGCTGACAGCTGGCTTTAGCTGAAAATGGGGCATAGAAGTGCAGAACAAAGTTCACTCCTGTGACCCACAGGAAAAGCAAGGCCAAAAAAGCTTTGCCCCACTTCTCCTTTAACAAATAATAACCTGGTCTGGCCAAACAAACCATTTGGATTTCATCCCAAAAGCCAAGGGGAACACTGTTCTGTTAAAACCTATGGATGGTCATATACATAGAAAAATAGTTAAGCATCTCTTGTTTATGATGAAAGCAAGCACAATAAATTGTTCAATCAGCAAAGAATCCAGCTATCCCAGCACAATGAAGAAAGGATAAATGAAAAAAACATTTAACATTAAACTAAGTTATTTATAAGACGCGACTCAACCTTGGCAGAAAAATGAAATAACTGTTAACATGAATGTTTCCAAAGCTGATAAAAACAACAATAGTAAAGCACAGTAAACCTTGTATACTCAATTGTGGATTGAAACAAACACTAATAACCACTTACCCTCCAGAGGATTTACCCCCTTCCTGACCAGGCCATTTTTTGTGATACGGCCCTGCGTTACTTTAACTGACAATTGAGCGATCATGCAACCCTGCATCCAAATGAAATGTATGTGCTTCCCCCCCCCCCCCCACAAATAGAGCTTTCTTCCGATGGTATTTGATCACCACTGTGTTTTTTTTTTTCCACTATAAACAAAAAAGACCAACAATTGTGGAAAAAAACCCCACAATATTTTAGATTATTTTGCTAGAAAACATCCAATAAAATTAAAAAAAAAAAAAAATCATATTTTGTCACAAGTTTAGGCCAAAATGTATTCTGTTCAAGGTCTTTGGTAAAAAAAAAAAAAAATCCCAATACATGCAAGTTAATTGGTTTACGTGAAAAAGTTACAGCGTCTACAAATGGTGGTATATATATATATATATATATTTTTTTTTTTTTTTAATATTAGTAATGGCTGCGATCAGCGACTTATAGCAGGACTGCGATGGGCATTCTGACACTGGGTGGGAACTGCCACCGACATCCCCAGTGGCATCAATACAGTCATCAGTGCTAATAAAAAGCACTGACACTGTACTAATGACACTGGGCAGGAAGGGGTTAACATCTAGGACAAAGGGTTACTGTGTGCTATGTGTTTTTTTTTGTTTTTTTTTTTTTTTACTAGGGACACATGCTATGCAGAGAAATACAAAGCAGCATGTCCTTGCTGGCAGGTGAGAGACCTGTGTTTACTGTCAGCTTTGCCTGAGGATCGCCGGGTGTCGCAGGGAATTTCTGGCTGTGCGTGCTCCCTAGACGGAAATGCAAATCGCACACACTAATAAATAAATACACACACACACACACACACATACACACACACACACACACACCACTGCTATTTCTGCTATAGGGCGGACAAGTAGTTAAAATTATCCAAAAAAAAAACAAAGCCAGTGTCATAAAGAAGAAGTATAGCAATAAACAATAGATTACAATCAACATTATAAAGAAGCATAGGGATACATGACAGATTATAATAATTATCACCATAAAAAAAGCATAGCAATAAGTGATTAAAATAATATAAAAAAGCATAGCAATAAGTGATAGATCATCATCATAAAGAAGCATAGCCTTTCGCGATAGATTATAAATCAACATTCTATAGCAATAAGCAAGACAACAACCACCACAACTACAAGCACACTCAGCCCACCTAATCGCTCACTGAGGCTCGACACATGAGACGGAAAGATTAGGATATTTAATCATATTTGGACCACTTACACCATTTCCTCACGCCGAGAGGCGAAATCTCCTTGGAGACCAACACTGATGTCAAATATTTATTAAAATCTAAAAAAAAAAAAAAAAAACACACACACATGTAATGCTTGCCAAAGTGCCCGAATTCTTACTGTATGAACGAACGTTCTCTCTATATTGGCATTATTTGCTTCTCAGAGAACTTGAGAACAAACTAGATTAAGACTGTTTACCCAAATGGTGCTCATGAATCATGACTGAGGCCATTATGAGATTATGAGAATAACAGTGCTTTTTTTTTTTTTTTAGAACGTAAATCCTCGAGTTCTGACAGTAACCAAATTACAAAAACTGTGACCTTTGAAACTATCCTCGCTGCTACTCACAAATTCAAAACCACTTGGGTTATAGAAGGCAGATATAGTCAATGCTGCACCTCAAATGTCAAGTGGCACCTC